TTTTTGGTTTCAAACTTCATGCGGATGAGTATTTGTGCATGTGTTATTTTCAGAAACTTTCTTATATGAGTAATCTTTTCTCTTCAATTCAACTCTAACTACGGCATTACAACTTAACACCAACATTCAGATATTTGATTAATATCATTTCAAAAGGTTGGAAAAGTGAATTTCCACTTTATCACTGACTATATTAACCACTAGTTCGCTCATTTTTGACAGATCGTAATGGGTGCCTTAATGCCTAAACGGATGTTTCCGACCTTACTCTTATTCTATGTATACCTTTCTTCATTCTAATACTTGATTATTAGTAAAGCTTGAAATTATTCACCATTGAGTACAATTTCCTTAATTCTTTTTATTCTATTAGATGAAGTCTCCTAGATATCATACAGTTAAGAAAAACGACCTAGGCTATGCAAAAATGTCCATGGGAATGCGTAGCTTTCGCATAACATTTTCTTCATAACCTATAATCTAATTAGATAACAAAATTGCCAAGGCATGTAAGACATCTTTCTAGTTATAGCATCGCCTGACTCAGGCATAGAAAAATTTCGCAAGTTTCCAAGCGTCAACGCAACCGTCCTTATATTCGACTTTCAAATTAGATATTAGCACAAAAGGCCCTCTAATCTAGCAAGATTGCTGCCGCTAAATGTCAGACACTAGTACAAAATCACCTCTAGGTCTAATAATATTGTCTAGGCTTGCTATTCTTATAATACTTTATAAGCCTATGTTCATGCTAATTTCATGGTTTTCTTATAGGCTTACGTTTAGTACTGACTAGAAAATGGTTGACGTTCGCGTTTCCTAGAGCATAGCCAGTTGCACATTAACATTACTTAACTCAAAGCAATTTTTCATTGATTCAAGTGAATAATCTTCCGGACTAACGAAACCTCTAAAAAGGACCCTAGGGATTGCTGTAATCTCATTGGTGAATTGTCCAAAGCATACCCGACACAAAATGCTATCTTCCTTTGATTTCTGATGAGGCTGGTCAAAGAATTCCCTGATCGCACGTTTTCAAATAAATTCAAACCTTTAAGTAAACTGCATGCCTTTGGAGGAAAACGACCTTTTATCTATGAAGAGGATAAGAAATTTTGTTTGTTGCACTCTTTTATCGTATAGACTAGTGTTATTTTTTACATCCAACATTTTATCCTATGCTTTATCCTCTGTCCTCAGTCGTGTTCCCCCAAATCGAATAGCAAGTAATTATTTGGGCAAGCTTCCCTCCGATCCCTACTTTCCTTCATCACACTGCTTTTACGCGATGCCCTAAGCACTTTCCATCGCTTGTAACTCATATTGTCCTATACTGACTTTTTTGCTTTTAAGTGTATTTTCTTCGATAAGTTTGGATATTTGTCAGTTGTACAACGTATTTTGGAGTAGGATCGAAAATGAGTATGATTATTTATAATCTACTAAATTTTTATAAACATATTATTATAGAAAATTAGTAAAGTCTTCTAGTATAATGACAGGTAGGTGTATGCCTCTTCGGAAATCTTACTATAAGTGTGATTTGGGAGAATCTTGGCCTACTTTGTAAGTCACGTCCGACCTGTGGCACATTGGCACCCGTGACTGTAGGTGAGCCGTAAAATCAGCACTATTCTCACAACCCGGTTTCTACCTCAGTTGTAGGAGCTGATTAGACCTAGGCGAGGTCGAAACTGCAGTCAACTCTGAATAAGATAGCTCTTTAAATAGCAAGGCCAAGTGAAATTCAGTAGCTCCGTGTAGCCCACTCATTACATCGTGTGAGCTTTCACTATAAAGCGTTTAAAGTACATAGAGTGACTAAGATTATCTTTTAAGAAGTACCGATAGTTTCGTGCGACCTAAATTGTTGGAGGCCAATGACCCTGTTGCAAGTTGATCTGGAATGCATTCATTATTTCTTTGAAATACACCAACTGATGTTATAATTTATAATATGTCAATGAAATTGGTTTAGCAGCAGTTAAGGTGGACTGGGAATTTTTGTATCCAAAAGAGTTCGTTGATATACAAAATAAATATGAAATATAAGGCTTAATATCATATAATTGAGATCTAATCTAGAGAAGCGAAATACAAGATGTTGGTTCTAACTTGCTGAGTGGCGAAGTAATACCACAAAGCGAAATTGGGCTTATACTGAACAATCTATGCCGATTCCATCTGTGGTTTACTTAGTTTCACAGTCAGGTGCATTAAATTTGTTGGGGAGACCTTCATTTCTTACGAAAGTGCATAAGGAAGAGATTCGTAGACGACATCTGAATCACGTTGTACTATTGACGCAGTCCACGAGACGCGTGAGATACAAGAATGATTTCCAGCTCTGATGATGTCCATGCTATAATGGACGAAAGATCAGCTCGTTTTCACCCAAAATGAGGAAGGATGTCTCGTGGACTGCGTCAACCTGAACGTCGTATTCAAGTCAAACGGCTGAAGTACAACGGGATTAAGATGTCTTCTGATGAGATCAATCTACGAATCTCTTCTTCATGCACTTTCATACCAAACGAAGGTCTCCCCAAGAAAGTTATCTCAGGAAAATAATCGAAACCAAGTTGCTTTTAGTATCTATAAGGTTCATTAGAGTCTGCTTAGGTATTTTTTATGATTTTTAACACGACATTTTGATTAATATGACTGTGTTTTAGTATGAAACATTAAGGAATACGCGTTTCACTCAAGACGGTTTGTTTGAGACAAAGGTGTTGTGCGTTTGAAAGGACATCTGAACTGCCAGTCTAAGAGGGCTTGCAATCGGCATCAAAGTGTGCCGTGAAGCGTGAGTAAATCTGGCATCGCTACAGTATTTTCCTGCGTTCTAAAGCTTGATCTGTCCGGTTGGCGGTCTTAAAATGCTGCTTATACTGTGACGAGTAGTGAAAACATTCTTTAGAATATAGGCGTCGATGAACATCTCTTTCACAAATTTTTGAGACATCTATGAACTAAGTGCAAATCAATTGTTGCTGGCTGGGTGATATGGCCTTTGCTATCGAGTTGGCTTGCTAACGCTATGCTGCTATCATTCATCCGATTCATGGATTGGCTCATCCTAGTCCATGGACATGGTGCAAATTTGAATCGCTTGAATCATCTTCATGATTGAAGCTTTTATGTCCTTATTATTCATACTTCTCATCTTTTTTATTCTGTATTTACTACATTCTCTCCGAATTTACAACGACATCCACCACGTGTCAAGGTTTGTCGCGACCCCTGGCCTCCTCCAATTATTCGGGAACGAAGGCCGCTCCTTTCCGAAAGACTGGATTTGTAGGTGACTCCGGTGCCACTGTTACATCATGTCCTGTCTCTGTCGAGTCTACTGCCGCAGTGACCAGTTGTGAAGGTGTCTGTAAATCTTCCATCGTCACAACCACTAGCACTCCTAACTCATGCCATCCCGATGCCGCCACATCCGTTTCTGTAGAGCGTCAGGCAAAAGTTGCGGAGACGCGTGCTCGCTTAGCTCTGATAAAAGCTCGTCTTTCGGCGATTCCCTTGACTTCTACTGCAGTCAGGCTCGAAACTTGCGACAGATTCGTGCTCCGCCTGACTTGTTCTAATCTGAATGGATATTTACAGCCTGTGACAGTCTATCTCTCGAAGGTAATCAAAGCCGGCAACTTTATCTCGACATTTTTCTGTGGATTTTCAATTAGTTTCAGTGATCCAGATTATCCACGCAACAACCTCCTAAAGGCACTACATCAGCGAGTGCTGTGTTTATTGGACAACTTTTATATATATTATCTTCCACTCCTCTTATTTTTAAAGACTGGCTTTCTCATCTAGGATATAACCCAAACTCTGGAATATGCCTGTTTCCTTCCTCAGGGACAGTTTGAATGATGGTTTTATAGGCATTCTTTGATACGAAATCCGAGCCCTTCCATCCTGACTAATCTTAAATCTGGCTTCAGCCTTGTATTTTTCAATCTTAAGATAAAGTTACGGAAAATGGGAATGACATCATTGTGAAATTGTGACTGCTTATGAAAATACTGAGTTTTCTGCATCTCATTTCATATGCATCCAAGCCATCGCACCATTATTTTGGCAGCGAGATCCGTTCACGACCTATGCACGTAAGTGAGTAGGTAAATTAAGAATCCTAGCCAACTTTTGTCTGTGCAACATTTGTTTCGTTTCATTGTGTCTGAAAAATTGAGTTTTTATAAATCCCAAAAGAGATTTATGGCATTGGGACTTTGTTAAGGAAAGATTGTGTGGACATGAATAGCGCAATGACTACTCCAAAGCACTTTTTATTCGGACATCTGAAGAGTTAAACCAAAGAATCTTCTACTCAACGTTTCATATTAGATGAAGAATTAGGTTATTATTTATTTTCTCCTATTTTCACCTACAAAACTCCAGGTTACCACACGTGTCTATCTCCTAATGGATCTTGAAATTATTCTCCTTGTTCTGCAGCTGTTTGGAGTTAATACGATGTTCAGGTTGATGCAGTCCACTAGACATCTTCCAACGTTTCGGGCGAAGATAGGCTGAGCTTTCGTTGGTCATGTGACGAACGTCATCAGAGTTGGGGCTGGCTCTTATAAAAGCCTTAAGTTGATTATAAGTCAATAAGACTGACCGGCTCTTTCCTATATGATATATATACTCATTGATATATCCATCTATATATAAAATTGTTTCTAGCAATGAGTATATATATATATATATATATATATCATGCTGGAAAAAATCGGTTAGTTTTCTTGACTTGAGGCTTTTGCTAGAAT